CAATATTAACCAATATTTTTGGTCCCTTTTTCGGCTACCTACAATGTATTGGGTCAGTACACAAATTTTGAATAAATTTTCTGCAGATAATATTTTTATTATGTAAAAATAACTATTGATTATGGATCAATATCTAGCTTTCTTATTTTAAATGTAATAATTGTTTTTATCGGTTAGGTGCATCTTTTACCTGAAAACGATAAAACATGTGTCATGCCGTACAGGTGAATCATAACACTTGTTCTGACGTTTATCAGTCATGCCTGTTTGATCTGACTTGCACTATTTATGCAATTTTTTGTATTAATTATAACAGGATCGCCATATGTGTTGCATACTTTCTGTATGACGTTGTGTTAATTAGAAGAAGATGACCCATCGGTTAGTTATTCGGTCTGTGCATATTGTTATTAACTATAATAAAATGATCCATCGGTTGGTGACGTCAATTTTAAAGCATTAAGAGTCACATACTAATTATCTGCAATACGATCATTAAATCTCTTAATTGCAGAGTTCGTGAGAAAAGCTATCGTTACGAAACAAATCTAAATTCCAGGAAAATGAAAGATACAACATATACATCAGTCTCACAATTTTGAAATAACCATTTAAAGATCTGGGCGTTAAAGGGTTAAAGTGGTATAAGTCAAATGTTTGAAGAAACGACTGAAAGCTAGTTTTCGGTTACAGGTGGATGTTTTCTTTTCATATAAATAATGACAAAGTCAACACAGTACAATACGAAAGAAGTTCAACAGAAACAAGAACGTCCCAGGAACCACTTGCGATCTATAAATCGCGAGCGGATTGCGGCTCGGCCGCTCCGATGTTATACGATTGAGTAATAATGGAAAGTAACAGAGGCACGTAGACGCGAAAAAAAAAGACGTATATACATTAACAACAACGACGACAAGATAGCGGCGCTTGGCGTTGCGACGACGCGCTGCGAAACACACTTTTCGCGGCTGCTTTCGTGTTCTGACCTCCTTTTATCAATTCCGCGCCGACAGTCAATTCAGGTTGAAGTGTGACTCTCCTTGCCGAGTCAACGTGGCACGACGCGGTTTCTACGATAGCAACAATTGCCGCCACAAATTTCGTGGGAACGATAGGTATATGACGCCGGAAGGAAGCGAGTTCGCGAGGTGATCATGGCGATGTATCGATGTACATACATATTCGGTGAGCGCAAAAGTTTTGATGACTTCGGCTTTAAACGAGCAGAGTAATAATAATTTTAACCATTGTAATTCAAAAAAATACATACACTGGTTTTTGTAAAACGTGACAGGCTCGGATTGAGATTTTTTGTGGCCCAGGGCTATCAAATTTTCGGGGGCTCCCTTGAAAATCGGGGGGGTACTAAAACTATAGTGATCATGTTGCCTGTAAAATATCTTTTAAATTTCTGCATTGACCCAAAAGTTGTCCACCCCACTCCTACCTCCTTTACAAGGGTACAGAGACTCCTGTAATTAACAAAAAGGCTTCGTTCACCTTAAAATTTGGATTTTTTTAAAACTTTGAGGGGTTATAAGGGACCTCGATACAAGAATTTCAAGCAATTTTAATTGCTTCTTTCTGGTTCTTTGGGGTAAAAACACCCCTTCAAGGGTTACTTGTTGAAGACTATAATAGCTATAACAAAATCTTTACATTGAAAATTTAATGGTTTGCTATACTCTATAAAACTGTACCATGAAATTGTTTATAATTTGTTGCTTATATAAATAAAGAAACAAATTTTCAGCCATTTCATTGCACAGTTTTATACAGCATAAAAAACCATTAAATATTAGTAGTTTTCAAGATATATAGGAAAATAGGAAAACACACATTAACCTTTAAGGGTTATTTTCACTTTGAAGAACCAGAAAGTGGGAAAACAAATTACCTGATACATAATGCTATTGAGGTTCTCTACAGACCTGTAAAATTTGAAAACATCGGAATTTGCTGAGAGGCCAAGACTGGGACAGACAACCACATATTGATACCTGGATCGCAAAAGGCATTATCCACCTTCTGGCATTGCAAGCGAAAAATTATCAATAAACTAAGCAAATGATGAATAAAGTGTCGTGCTAGATACTTTTTGCTGAATTCCGTTGTCACATGTTGAAACGCAACCTGCATGTTAATGTCAACCACTGTGGAATGTTTCAGAGTAATAAAAAAAATTGCGTAACTCTCGCTAAAGTTTAATCTATACAATTGCTTTCCAATAATAAAAGAAATATTCAGAATGATAAAAGAATTGCTTATCTTATCCTGAAATTTGATCCATCTGTACTGTTACTGCAATCACAAAACAATTCATCGGTATAATAAAACCACTCATTACTTGTCTCTAAAGCTGTTATCAAAATTGTTATAATGTTCTAACTATTTAGACTGCGGCTTTTAACGCAACAAACTCCCTAGGAGGCAAAAAATCTTTGTTTTTAATTTTACTTTTGTAAAATGCTGTACAAACTGTTATTTTGCATAACGATCCGCAGTTTAGTTATAACACTGCACTTCTCGAAATTTTTCGAAACTTTTATTGCAATAGTTCTAATGAAGAAGTTCGTTCAGTTTTCGATTTGTATCTGTCCAACAAGCTCCCCTTCTTACCATTATGATAGGAATAGGATCACATTTATCTTCGGTAGTTCTAGTTCTTAGGTATTTGATAAATAAATGTGATTTGATACATGATAAAGGGAATCTACGTTAACGCTACTTTAAATTTTTCCTTTTGGAAATCGAAGCGTGGTTCTTGTAAATGAAGTTTTTCTGGTAATTTTTTTCTAGTTCTGACAATGAGGATCGTAAAATCATTGTAACTCGTGAATACGCGACAGTAGTCCAGGCAATAAATCTGCGCATTATATACGAAGGGTAAAAAATATAAAAAATTATATCTGTGGAAAACGACAGTAAGATAACACGAATAGTGGTTGATACACAAAAATATAATTTTCTTCCATTGTTCTACTCTAAGTCTTTCTAATGTATTATTGAAAATGTAAGAAACTATTCATAAGAACAGAGGTCCTAAAAATGTTGATTACAAACTTGAGAGTACCCGACGAATATGTACGAATACTCAAAACACATCACAAAGGGACATATGAGCGCCATTCACAAGTCAAAGTGGCTAACTCCATTTTGTTTATTTTTCACTTTGTATATTTAAAATCAATTTTAAAAATATTTTTAAATAAAATTTTAAAAAAACTAAAAAAGAATGTAACTTCTTTTACGTTCACGTTCTTATCGCATGAATATTTGTGTTCTTTGCCATATATGCAAATTTCAGTGCGCGCTATTCAAATATGGAATAGCGACGCTATATGTAAAAGACACGCGTGTTTGCATGTCAGGTTCGGACGTTTCCCGAGTTTGCTTCGAAACATTGGAATTTTTCTTGATTCCTTTGTTGAGTGTCCTACGATCCATCTAACCCAAGTCACAAGTCGTGTGTTAATTATTAGCGCTTGACAATATTTTTAAATATGGATAAAACATCAAATATCTCAAAATAAGAAGAAGTGAACTTCTATCACTTTTTAAAACACTGCTCAAATATCGTCTTATTTGGATAAGTGTGTGGGATTTTGTTGTGGGTCACAATCGACACAGCCGCCAGCTTTGGCAGTCGTTAAATACTCCGAAGGTTAAGATATGTAAAATCAATATTCAATTCTTTTAATTGTTCTCTTTGTGCGCGTAATTTTCGTGACCCCTAAACAATTGTATAGAAGTTTTCGTGATAATATCAGTGAATAAATATATTATTATCAATCTAACAATGAATTATCGAAATTAAATGCATTAACACGTTGGAGCCGTTACTTGCCACTGGTGGAGCATCGGATAACTTTTTTCTGTGCTATCATGGTACACGAGGGGATCGTTCTGTTAGGATTGCTAGAAACTCAAGCGGAGTATATTTAGACGATCCACCGACAAATCATCCAGTCGTAATCAATGATAGGTCCCGCGAACCGCATGGTGGTATTTTTTAAACAATTATAAATCGTATTTACATTTATATTATAAATTGTATAAATATTTATAAAAAATCTTATGGTCAGTATGCTCCGCCAGTAGATCAACCCATAATAATTCGTAAAATATCCAAATGGATCTAATCTATCTATAAATATACAGTGAATGATCAAATTATTAGAGTCATCTTGCGATTTTAACTGTATTTTTTATAATTATATAAGCTAATTTTCATTTTTTGGTGCATTTACAGTGGTCAATCGTCAATCAAAAAGTATTCAGTGCAAAACGTTTGATATTATGATTTTAGTTCCGCATAAACACAAAAATGTACTTTTTTAATGTAAATATAAAAATTAAACATATTGCCCTGCAACAAACTCATTTCAGACGTAACTCGTTCTAAATACAAGTGCAACAATACGATTGACAGATTAAAAAAAAATGTAAAATTATTTGAAAGGTGCAATCGATCTACAAATGACGAGTTAACTCATCTTCCGCAATTGCCACACGGAACAGAGAGCGCAGCGTGCAAGAAGAAACCGATGAATCGAATCAAAATCATTGATAATCCTTCTTATCAATGAATCGTTTCACAAAAAAAAACGAACCACACTCCCGTTATCAGTTCAAGCTTAAACCGTTCGTCCGACAAAGTTCCGCGACGTCTCGCTTGTCGCTCAGATATCGATTTCGATTTCCCGGCGTTTCCATGTATACACAAACCAGGCACCGTGATACCAGAGGCATCCGTCCATTCGGGAGATACATTCAATTAAATTCCCACGCAATCATCTGATCGCCCCCTATCGACTGCTGTGCAACCGTTAATCCACGATAAACCAGTTTCGTCAGCGTTTCCCCGCGAATTTTTAACGAAGCCCGCTTCTTCGTTACGCAACGACGCGAGACAGCCCCCTCGGCAAAACGATCGCGTCTAGTTTTAACCAGCACAAAACGAGCGCACATACGATAAATCAGTTGAAATGACTCACCTGAAAATTGCCCCCGTGAACCGGCGCTCCTTGGTTTTGCATTTTGTGCGACATCCGTTCGATTTTCGATCGTCTATCAAATATTGTTTGGATCGCCTTGGCGAAGTTACTTGTACTCTCGTGTTACAACGAGCAGAAAAAAATGCTTCTACACGATCGAAAACGATTTTCCGGGTACAAAGCTCCCGTTTTTTTCGTTGATTCCTCCGATTCACTTTAGCCGGGCGTGGAACACGCTCGTGGCAACACACGCGATCACTACACACACACGGTGTGCGTATACGTAACGAGGATTATATATATTCTTAGGATGGCGTGTGCGTATACCACGCGGAGGTTCTCCGAAACTCGACACCACGAGTTATGTCTCTCTGCGCTACTGAATGATAGAGACCCTGCCCTCTCGATGTACACGCTCGCACTGATCCTTCTCCTTTCCTTCCACCGACTTTCTTCAGCGCTTTCTCCCTGCCCTCGAGTCGCACACACCGCGCCGCAACCGTAGGCAGTGCCCGAAGGGTGGGGGGAGAGTGACTGAATAGGCGAAGCTTCCGAGGGGAGTGGGTAAAAACACGAGCGAAGGGAGGGGGAAAACAAACGCGTTCACCGGAGCCGGATGGTCTGGTTCCTCAACAAGAGTCGGAAGAGGGGTACATACAGTTTTGTGTTTAAGAAGAAAAGACCGGGTCCCACTTTGGGGGGCGGGAGAGGGGGGGTGATACGTGCATAGACAATGATAAAAAACGGTATCGAGTCTCCGGGGCTGAATAAACGTCGCGTGCGTCGATAAGACTCGACTAGGAATGACGGGGGGATCTCCACACACGACCAGGAGGCCCGTGCGCGATATTTCCTCGCGTCTCTCTTTCTCCCACTCTACTTCGTGGCTGTATATCCTTCTTCGTCCCTTTCCGCACACGTCACCGCATGATGAACGCACGTACACAGTCACAGCTACGAACCACTGAACGCGACCTAACGGCTAAGCTCCTCTCCGGTGACTATGCTTTTCCCCCACCACGGGCGCCCGAAGAGCAACCTCGAATCCCCCCCTCCTACTAGGCACCCTCCTGATCACGGTCAACGCTCACTTCACTGGGTTCTCGGACGATGTCCGCCACCTCCATCGGTAACCACCACTACTACCGGCAGGGCAGATATTTACCACTTCCATCGGTCCTCTTCGTCGCCATCTTTGTCTGATCTATCTATACGTCGTATTCATTGTCCTCGTCGTTCGTTTGGAATTCTCTTTCTTTGTTTATCCTTCAGTGATTTCTGTTATACGGGTTGTACATATGCAGAACCTCTGTGGATGACGTTTCTCCTCCTTTCTCCATCTTACGGCCCCCATATGCGTTCTCCCTCGACTCGTTCTCTGTCGCTCCGGCATCCTTTTTCGCCCGACAGAAACCATTCTCGCTTCACTCCCCGTCGCGCACATGCCAAATCCATTTACGTCGAACGCGTTTCTGCATCATTATCCGCCTATCGGGTTTATAATCGTCTTGCGTCGACGGTACGTATACGCGCGCGGTAGCGGCGGTCGACACAGGATCAAGGTTAACACTGTTGATGTTAGGGAGAACGCCGCATCGCATCCGGCGCCGCCACCATCCTTAGAAATTCCGGAGACAGACGGGGATCGCGAGTGTTTTTTCTTGAAGTGATAAAGCCCACGGATTTGGTCGACACACGCCGTCGCGGGACAGCCGTGAATTATTTCGCGTCGCTAGAGATCATCTCATCGGTAGTATGTATTGATGATTGTGCCGTGCAAAGGACAAAGTGACTCACTCCACTGATTAAATTTTTTCAAATTTTAGCGCCAAAGCACTTGATTGGTGCTTAACTTTGTAGATTTAACATAAATTTCTTACAATAGAACTCATTGAGTGGCTACACGTGTTCTAATATTTCATCAATTATGATAAAATGACCATCTGTCACTGGTTATCACATGGCAGTATTTGTAATCAAATACGATTCATCGACTTTATCGAATGATTTTTGGCTGTTGATAATTGTGTATCTTAAGTATAAGAGTAGATGTATCTCAAGCGTAAAAGTTATTAACATTATCTATGTTTACGATTGTACTTTCATTACTTTCAAATTATTCTATTATTAAACTTATTATAACATTCTCAAAAATGTAGGTACTTATATAGTACTATATGTATATTCAATAATATATCTTTACTGTTTCTATCATAATTATTATTATTTGTATTTTAGAATCACATTTCAGAGAGGTCTACTTCAATTGAAATATAGATTTAAAATTGTTATTAGTGACACTGTTGACAATTTATTATTTTTGGAAGTGTTATTAAGTCCATTTGCCATAAACAAAAACAGTTTCACTTGGAGAATATTTACAAAAAATGGTCACATAATAAATCCAAAAATGTCTGAAATCTTAAAAGCACAAAACAAGCTTATTAGCGTTTAACAATATTTTTAAATTGAGTAAAATGAAAAACATTAAATATCTCGAAATAACGATAAATGGACTTGTATACACTTTTTAAAAAAGAAACGGCTCAATTATTGATTCCGAAACATGCCGAGCAAGTATAATTTCCTGCATTTTTCGAATTTTTCACTTGAACAGCAGAAACGGGGATAGTCTTAAAACGCAATCGTGTGCTGAATCGACGTTTACACACTCATTTTGGTTTCGTTCTTCGACGGCCGGTCGATTTCTCGCATAATGAGGGGAATTCACAACATTGGAATTTTACAACACGAATCGTTGATTACGGCATGGTGTGTGTGTTTCCCTACTAACGTTTGTTTTCTAAGCGTTATACAAGATTCTTCGATTAATACGGACACTTATGCTCCAACGACGTGACGTGTGCGTACACAATAAATTCCGATAACATTTCTGTTATCGAAAATGCCTATTTAATATCTCGAAACGGGGAACGCTCTTCTTACGAGGTAGTATTTACATGCCTCGTCATGTGTTATCACACACCGTCCGTCACTTTAAGATTCCGTACCTGCTCTGCGTTCACCTCGGAACAGTTGCACGAATATCGAGCATGGTATATTCGTGGAAAACAATGCGTTGATAAAAGTACTTCAACGATCGACCACGTAATACGTCCTGAGTGCCGCTCAGATTGTTCTGAGAAACGACAACCGACACGTCTAGATGTTAATAGAACACTTAACGTCGCGTATAGTGATTCTTTTAAAAAATTGCTTACAATTAGATCAGCACCTGACTTTGCAAAAAATGTTAGCATAACGCACCCTTGCTACAAAAGTGACACAAGTCGATAAACGTGTTTCAGGTTATTTTAAACTCGTTATATCTTCCCGCTGTTGCGGGTAATCAAAATAGCGTAAAGTTTTGGAGAATAATGATGAGTTATTGGAATATCGTAATAATTATATTGCGATTAAATAACAGTAGCTTTAATGTCGTAAGTCCTCTGGAAATGTACTCTTGTCGATAAATACACTGTTACGACATTTTAATAATTTTTATGAATTTACAAACCAGCCATCTTGACTGTTTTGAAAGTTCTAATGTTAAAATATTTTAATATATTGACCTTTAGACCATCGTACATGCTATAAATGCATAATATCCAGAGTCCAATGATCAATGATTCATATAATCCCGTATATGTTCATCGCTTCCCGTTTCGTTGACATCACGAAGACAACTGTAAGTACACGTGTCATCGGACGAGATTAGACGATTTTATGATCTCATCGTTATTTATTTCAAGTCTATTGTAACTTCGCTACGGAGCAGGGTTAATAACATGGTTGACACCTTGTCGCGGCCGCATGAGGATTAAACTGATGCATGTCAATTTCGTTCTCTTTCATTTTTTTTCTTTTGTCCTTTCAAAGCTGACGGTTCGTGTCTCTTCTCTCCTTGGAATGCACGCGATATCGTTTTACGGGTAACAAGCAGCTTTTGTGAACGATGTTGATAAACATGCTACAAATGTCAGTTAGTCGTCCCGTTCGTAGCGTAGCGTAGATTAAAATCGACCATGAAGATGAAATTTTCGTTAAAACTCGTTAATTTATTAATTCTTAACTGGTGAGGTGGTGTGTGAGGAACACCTATGAATATTTTCAGAATATTTTATTTTTATTCAATATTACTTAAATAGTTAGATGACCCTGAATGGACCTAAGTTCCGAACTTTAAAAAGACTGACACAGGCTTTAACGAAAACTCCTGGCAACGATGCTGTGACGAACTTGAGGGACAGTTGAATGGGAAAGCGATCGCCTTGAAACCTCAAGCCATCTCTCACATGCGTTTTTTAGTACTTGCTTTAAGACGACACAGATGCAATATCTACCTTACCCCCCTCCCCTCTTGTGAGCCCAAGACTTCATTTCGATCTTAAAAAGTACGCAAAAACATCTCTTGGCCGTAGTTGATTCCTGACGTTTGGCTACATTACAGCCATCAGTCTCCTTATCGGAAATTTCGAAGTCATAAACTCTAAAAGGTACGTTTTCACGTGGCATTAACCCTTAAGCTGTTGGGAGTATCCCCTTTGAGACATTGAGAAAACCCGAAATTCACTGCAGTGCATATAATATATTATGTACATAAATTTTTAGCCAAGAAAAGACTACCTTGATATGAAAAAATGCCGGTAATTTAAAGGAAATGCCATGGCTTTTACTGTCATGACAGAGTGACCTTTTTTTATAGATACATTTTCAGATGAAATGTAGCTACACTTAATCTCTTAAAGGGGTATTCTAGTATGGGACTTTCCAAAAAACGATTTTCTTGTATTTTCCCAAAGTATGTCTGCAAAGTGTCGCCATTTAAAAAATTGTTGATATTTTGCCTGGATACTGATTCACACCATAGGCACACTCATACTAATTAAAAGTCTTTTTGATTTTTTTTTCCTTTCAAATAAGCAGGTTGGCCGGAATCGTGTCTGCCAGTAGGATACTTGTTTTAATAGACCGTACTAAATAATTTATAATTCAGTCAATTTTGATTATTTTCATTTAACAAAACTGGTAAATGTTGTAAAATTAAAAATATAAGTAAATATGTATGCAAAAAGCCGATACCAAAAAGTCTTATGGTTCATATAAATCACCTACCGTTCAATAGTTATATTAAACATCACTCATCGTAGGACACCCTGTATGTATTTGACGATCCAGCGGCGATCGACAACGGAGATATCGCGCGTGTATGCACGAAAATTCACAGACAGGATTCCTGTTTTCAGGGCGTTCAGGGCGCCGTACTGTCGCAATCAATGCTCGTGTATATAGGTCGCGGGTAAGATAGATGGTCGAGGATGACGCAGATACACGCAAAAGAAAAAAGTTCGCGAAAATATCAGAACTGTATTGGTCCTTCTCACCCACGCAGGCTCCGTTGTTGGCAGAAAATCATGCACGTGTGTATCCTTTGGCCCAGATTCGGGATGAATCGTTATCTCAGGGTCAACGGCGATTCACTTCGAAACTACCCTCCTC